AATATTTAAATATTGAAAATATATCTGGTATTCGAAATTGTTGTTGAATTTAAAAACTATATAAAGACTGAGAAATGATATTTTTCTTGTTTTCTAATTTACACTAATTTTTAGAATTATATGCAAAACATTGTTTTGAAAAATTTCAACAATTTTAATAAAAAAGTATTTTCATAAAATTCCTATATTCTTGTTTTCGAAAATAAACACTATTAAAATTTATAACAATAGGCTTATTTAGATTATAAATGTATATATATTTAGTTATATTTATGGTTGTGATTATGGCTGTTCAACGCATGAGATTGTGTTAAATGTTAAGTATGGTTGTTGAATTAACTAACAATTAAGCTTTAATCAAGTTGTTACGTAACATTGTTAACGATGTTACTGAATTATGATACATCTGCTTGGCATTTTGAATGTATGCAACTCTGCTATTTTAACTCATGCGTAAAATGCTTGTCTGTGTCCCTTTCTCAGGTTACACCCCACTTGGAAGAGCTGTAATATTATGTTACAGCAGGAAACCAAATTGTTCTTGAACTAATAGATCAGAAAGAGAAGTCACATAAAAAAAGTGTTAATGGAAAGAGAAAAACAGATTCGAACATGACTGACAAACAGTCTCCAGCTAAGCGGCAAAAAAATACTGCCCAAAACCAAACAAAGTGCATGGGAAAGGAAAGGGACGAGCAAAAAACTTAGCTGAAGAAAACAAAGTAGAAGAAGCAAACCCAAGTTGAAGATCATCCAAATGACTAGCACATCAAAGACTCCACCACTGGAAGAGCCAAAGTATACACTGACAAGTGTACTGCATTTTTATCAAAACTTAACTTCAGGGCAAGTAGAGATTCTCTGCACTTCAGAGAGAGATTGCTTTTTATCTTTTTTTACGCTGGACAGGCAAATACAGAGAGAGAAATGTAATCGTTTTAAATTTTTTTTTAGATTATAAACTTGTATATGTATTTATGTTATATTTATGGTTGTGATTGTGGCTGTTCAGTGCACGAGATTGTGTTAAATTTTAAGTATGGTTGTTGAACGCTTAACTATCAATTTAAGCTTTTAAGTCAAGTTGTTACGTAACATTGTTAACTATATTACTGAATTATGATACATCTACTTGGCATTTATTGAATGTATGCAATCCTTTCTATTTTAACTCAATGCGTAAAGATGCTTGTCTTTGTTCCCTTTCTCAGGTTACACCCGGCTTGGAAGAGCTGCAATTATTTATGTTACAACAAGAAGCCAAATCTGTTCCTGAACTAATAGATCAGAAAGAAAAGTCACATAAGAAAAGTGTTAATGGAAAGAGAAAAATAGATTCGAACATGACTGACAAACAGTCTCTAGCTAAGCAGCAGAAAAATACAGCCCAAAACCCAAACAAAGTGCATGGGAAAGGAAAGGGACGAGCACAAAACTTAGCTGAAGAAAACTAAGTAGAAGAAGCAAACCCAAGTTTGAAGAGCATCCAAATAACCAGCACATCAAAGACTCCACCATTGGAAGAGCCAAAGTATACACTGACAAGTGTACTGCATTTTTATCAAACCTTAACTTCAGGGCAAGTAGAGATTCAATCGCACTTCAGAGAGATATAGCTTTTTATTCTTTTTTGACGCTGGACAGGCAAATACAGAGAGATAATTCTAATGGTTTTAAATTTTTTCAGCAACTTCTGAAGATCTGAAAAAATTCTTTAACGATATTGGTGGGATTGGCTCTGTTCGAATTCTGTAGGACAAGTTCACCGAAAAGTCAAGGGTATGACTCTCTTTCTCTCATTCATCATTTGTCAATGTTATTTGTCCTTTATGCTTCAAATGAAAAAGAGGAAGCTATCCACTGGACCTTCCATGGGCAACTCAGTCTAATAGTCAAATCCTTGTTTAACATTGCCTGACCTTTAAACTTCAACATATGTATGCATAATGTGGACTGTACCACAGAAATTAGCCTTAAGAAACTAATTTTAATGAGACTGGTAGATCAGCATGGCCGATGCTTCAAAGAAATACAAACTGCTAATTGCAGTCCATTCTTTTTGATCAAATTTCTTAAGGGTGCTCACTGAAACTTCAATTTGATTTCTTCCTTGCATGTAATCAATAAATCATTTATAGTTCTTACGCTTTTGGTTTTAAGATGGATGTCCTTTCCAGAGACGATTATGCAGTCTCAAATAAACCTACAAAAGCGTTGAATTCCATAATTATGGTAAAATTGCTTTATTAATATCTCCATTTTTTTTTTCCTCTTTTGGGGATAAACCATTTGAGCTTCATAGATCACTGGATGTGGAGAAAAAATTGGTGTACATCATTTTAAGCCAATAAAACCCTTGGGTTATGGTTGATGGTTTTAGAGCTGGAGAATTCTAAGGAAAAATGTAGTTGTTATGTTGGCACACACACTGAAAAAAGTGTCATATGGGAATTTCCTTTCATTGAACAAAAAAATAGAATACAAAGCATGGTTTGCACTGTAGTTACACCTACTCTGCAGTAGGCTTACAATCAAAATTAAACAGCCATACTTTACTAACTACTACAAACACATCACATTACATTAGCACCTAATCCACAGCATATTTTTAGCTGAATTCACCTAAGGTATACATTATAATAATCAAAGAAATGCTGGTGCATTACAGTAGAAACTAACAGCAACAGAACTCCAGATTTTGCCGCCAGAATATGCAGCTCCAGTATTACAAAAATGGAACCAACTTCCTAAGTTTCCAACATAATACCATCTTGATCAACACTCCTCCTTGATATTCATGCTGGAAAGTCCAAGTTTGAGTCTGAATTCTACAAACTTGGACTTGTTCAACCCTTTGGTCATAATATCAGCAACTTGGTTCTCTCCCAAACAATGAACTAAGCTAATTTCTTTGCTTTGCTCTGCCTCTCTCACAGCATGGTATTTAATTTTGATATGTTTAGTTCGACCATGGAGAATAGGATTCTTAGCAATTGCAACAGCTGACATGTTATCACAATAAATGGTGGTAGACTCATCTTAATTCAGCCTCAAGTCTGCCAGAATTTTTCTCAACCAGACTGCCTGGTTTGTAGCAGCTGCGGCAGAAATGTATTCTGCCTCAACAGTAGATTGAGCAATTGTATTTTGTTTTTTGGAGAGCCAACTGAAGGCACCATGGTTAACAAAGAAAACAAATCCAGAAGTGCTTCTCATGTCATCAACTGAGCCTGCCCAATCACTATCTGAATACCCAATTAGGCTGAATTTTTCAGCCCTTTTGAACTAGATTCCTAACTCAGTAGTCCCCTTAATGTACCGTAGCACCCTCTTTGCAGCCTTATAATGCATCTCACTTGGCTTGCTCATGAATTTGGACAGGAGGCTGGTGGTGTACATCAAATCAAGCATGGTTGCTGTCAAGTACAACAAGCATCCTATCAAGATTCTATAGACTCCTTCATCCACCCTCTTGGTACCATCTTCCTTGCTCAACTTTTGGCTAGGAATTAGTGGAGTATCAATAGATTTACAATTGTCCATATTGAACTTCATTAGCACTTCATTTGCATACTTCTTTTGACACATAAATATACCCTTTAAGCTTTGGTATATTTCCATGCCAAGAAAGTAGCTCATTTCACCCAAATCAGTCATATCAAATTCCATCTTCGTTGCTCTTTTGAACTCTTCCAACTAATCAAGATTGCTTCCAGTCACCAGGAGGTCATCAACATAATGAGAAACTATCATCACTTCTCCTCTTTGTTCCCTTACATAAAGGTTGTGCTCATTTGGACTCTAGCATATCCTAGCTTGCACAAATAGTCGTTAATTCTGCTATTCCAGGCTCTAGGGGCCTGTTTGAGACCATACAAGGCCTTCTTGAGTAGATAGACCTTCTCCTCCTTTCCCTTGACTTCATACTCCTCCGGTTGCTCAATGTAGATTTCCTCATCAAGTAATCCATTTAAAAATGCAGACTTTACATCAAGTTGGAAGATTTTCCAACTGAATTGAGCTGCCACTGCCATGAGAAGCCGAATAGTGTCATGTCTTGCCACAGGTGCAAAGGTTTCTGAAAAATCAATTCCAAATTGCTGTGCAAAGCCTTTAACAACAAGCCTTGCCTTAAGTTTGTTCACTGATCCATCAGGATTCAGTTTCCTTTTAAATATCCACTTAACTTGTATTACTTTTCTGTCAAGTGGCCTATCAACCAGCTCCCAAGTTTGATTTTTCTCAATCACACTCATCTCCTCCTGCATTGCAGCCTTCCAAGCTTCAGATTTTACAGCTTCAGCATAGCATGTAGGCTCTAATTCAACCACATTACACCTCTCATATATGTCATGCAGAGACTTGGCGCCCCGGACTAGCACTTCATCCACTTCTTCAGGATTCAATTCTGTATTCTGAATTTCTGGATCTATGTCATGTTGGCTGCTGATCCTTCTCTCAACTTGCCTTTTTTCCCAATTCCAAGTAGCTCCTTCATCAACCTTTACATCCCTAATAATCACAATCCTTTTGGAGCTCGGATTGTAAATTCGGTAGGCTTTGGACTGGCTGTTGTATCCAATCATGATGCCTACTTCAGCCTTCTCATCTAACTTAGTCCTTTTGTTTGTTGGAACAAACACATAGCACACACTTCCAAATACTTTCAAATGATCCATATTTGGCTTGACACCATACCAAGCTTCAAAGGGAGTCTTGTTGTCAAGTGCTTTGGTTGGTAACCGATTAAGGAGATAGATCCCAGTGTTGACAACTTCTACCCAGAAAAGTTTTGGCAAATTTTGCTCAATCATCATGCACCTAGCCATTTCCATCACTATCCTATTCTTTCTCTCACTCACTCCATTTTGTTATGGAGTGTATGGACTGCTGAATTGATGCCAAATGCTAGCCCCTTTGCATGCTTCTTCAAACTCATTGGATGTATACTCTCCACCATTACACTTCTTAAAGTTTTGAGTGTCAAACCTGTTTGGTTTTCAACCAACAGCTTGAACCTTTTGAACGTAGTAGCTACCACACATTTTTGGTTCAAGAAATGCACCCATGTCATCCTAGAAAAATCATTTATGAAAATGATGAAATATCTACTTCCACTGAGAGAAGTTTGCTGCATTGGACCACACACATCGGTGCGCACAAGCTAGAGCTTTTCACTTGCTCTCGAAGCATTATTTGCAGGGAATGGAGGCCTACTGAGTTTACCAATTTGGTAGGTTTTGCACAATCCTTCACCTTGCTCTATTTCAGGTAGGTTATGGACAAGGTTTTTGTGTTTGAGTTCCTTGAGGGCATGATAATGAAAATGTCCAAATCTTCTATGCCACAACTCCGAATCATCTATCCTAGCTGAGTGGTTTTGAAAAACAAGCTTTCCCCATTCTATAGGAAAAAATTTTCCTTGCATTCTAACCTTCATCAATTCTGTCCCATCACTCTCTAAAATAACACAAGTGAGGTCCTTGAAATGCAAAGAATAATTTTTCTCTAACATTTGTCCTACACTAAGTAGGCTCAAACTGATTTTAGGCACAAACAAAACATCAGCTATGAGTTTAGTACCTATTTTGGTTTGGATAGCAACATCACCTTTGCCTTTCACCTCTAGCAGTTCACCATTTCCCACTTTCACCTTGGATTGGTAACCCTTATCTAGGCTCATGAAATTACTGGCATTTAGGGTCATATGGTTGGTGCAGCCGCTGTCAATCAACCACACGTCAGGGCTGCTTGCAACCATGCATTCAGATACCACAAACAGTTGCTCTAAACTTTCTTCTATCTGCTGAGAGTGCTGGGAACTTTCCACAGCTTGAGCTTGTTGTTCCTGCTGATTCCCTTTGTTCTTACACACTCTTTCAATGTGCCCAAATTCTTTACAAGACCTACATTGAATGCTAGGCCTGAACCAACATCTATTTTCAGAGTGGTTCTTTTTTCTACAGTGAGGACAAGTAGCAAAAGTTCTTGCTACACCCACATTCATTCCTCCTTGATTACTCAGCTTTTCTTTCCCCTTCTTCTCTCCAGCGTACCTCCTGCTTTCCCCTTGAAATCCCTTCTTTATTGACTTGCAAACATAGCTCCGTCATCCAAATCTTCCTACCTCAGCAGCCTCCTTTGTTCTTGTGCTTGAAGGGAATGCACAAGTTCAGCTAGGTTGATTTAGGACAGGTCTTTTGAGTCTTCAAGTGAGGAGAGTTTTGCTTCAAATCTTTCGGGTAAACTAACCAAAACCTTCTCCACAATCCGCTGATCAGTCAACTCCTCACCAAGTAGCTTAATCTTGTTTACAACATTCATAAATCTATCCAAATACTCCTTGACATTTTCAGTTTCTTGCATTTTGAGCACTTCAAACTCTCTCCTCAAGTTTAGGATCTGCATGTTTCTGGTTTGGGTACTTCCCCTAAACTCCTCCTTGAGCTTGTCCCAAGCTTCTTTAGGAGTATCACATGCCATTATCCTGGAGAAGACCTGGTCAGTTACTGTAGAATGGATGCAGGAGAGTGCTCTTGGAGCATTTGCAACCTCCTCTTCATGTATCCTAATCTGATTCAGTGTTGGGTTTGCTCCAAGTTGAGGGATTTGTCTCTCTTCCTCCACATATTGCCATAAGGAATGGCCTCTCAAATAGGTCTTCATTTTGACAGCCCAAACATGGTACTACTCACCATTGAAGATAGGTGGAGAAAGAGGTGCTGGATTTGTTGCCATGGAGGAGATCTTAAGGGAGTTAAGGTTTTTTGGTCTGGAGGATTACGGTGGCTCTGATACCAAATGATGGTTTTAGAGCTGGAGAATTCTAAGGAAAAATGTAGCTGTTATGTTGGCACACACACTGAAAAAAGTTTCATACAGCAATTGTCTTTCATTGAACAAAAAAAAAAGAATATAAAGCATGGTTTGCACTGTAGTTACACCTACTCTGCAGTAGGCTTACAATCAAAATTAAACAGCCATACTTTACTAACTACTATAAGCACATCACATTACATTACATTAGCACCTAATCCACAGCATATTTTTTGCTGAATTCACCTAAGGTATACATTATAATAATCAAAGAAATGCTGGGGCATTACAGTAGAAACTAACAGTAACAGAACTCCAGATTTTGTTGCCAGAATATGCAGCTCCAGTATTACAAAAATGGAACCAACTTCCTAAGTTTCCAGCATACTATCATCTTGATCAACAGTGGTGATACTGGCAGGTAATTTTTTCCCCTCACATGCTTAGTATCCCTGAGATTATCAAATTATGTTACCTTGATTTACTTAACCCAAAAAATGATACACTGTTGAAAATACATACTCCTCAAAGTCTCAGTATAAATTTTTTATATTCAATTGATAACTTCTAGTGTCATTGTTTCGTGAACTAAAATTTGAAAGTAGATCAGAAAGGTAGAAGGGGTTTGGGGGAGAGCCAGACCCAAAAGAAATTTAAATAAGCTTCCTTAGCGGGGACTGAAATGGAGTCTTTATGGTGAAGAGGGAAGAAGAGATAAAAGAAAAAAAGGGATTCTGTATGGTTTAAATAATTTGGTTTTCTCAAACTTAAATAAGGAATCAACATTCAAGATTTAAGTTTAAAATCCTGGACAGTGTGGATAAGGCGCTTATTTATGCCTAAAATAGTAGGGTGAGTTTCTAAGTTCCTGTAATACTTTGTGCATGGAGATTTACTTGCATTTCAAAATCTTGTCTCTTATATCTGCCACTATATTACTAAGACTGTTGTTTAATTACTAAGTCAGTGGTACATAAATTAGAGATTTCTATTCTCTACTTAAAATTCTATGGTATTTGTTGCAACGTTCACCTGGTGGAACTGCAGGAGACTAGCGAACTGTATGCTATGAAAGCAATGGAAAAATCTATAATGATAAATCGTAGCAAGGTCTGAATATATAGTATGATCAAACTCAACTTTTAAATAAAAGAACTCTAAAGAGAAATAATTGCTTCATAGTGCCATTTTTGTACAGAGAGTAATATTTAATCTTTGTTCTGATGTTAAGTTCACTAAGTATGTGCTGAAGGGGAAATCATGTCATTACTCGATCATCCTTTTCTTCCGACACTCTATGCTTCCTTTCAGGTATTCTTATGTTATCTGTCTATACCTTCATTTTCATAGCACTATAAAACTTTGCTTACTCCAAGTGAAAAAGAAGAAAAATTAAAAACTTTTGTGCACATTTTTGTTGTCATAGTTTTGTTGTTGATGTTTTAAATGCTTCTATACCAAGTCAACTCAACTAAGCTCAATCTTGAAGTAAATACGGAAGGAATGCTTCTGTTAGAGCCCAACACCTAGTTTTAGTTTTGTCCATGTTATACATGAAGGAGGTTGTTAGAGGAGCTTAATCCTAATGTGAAATATGTTGCTTGATTATTTCCCCAAGCAAGATGGGAATTTATACAATGTACAAGTTACATGAATTAGGAAAGAATTAATCCTAAATAATCAAGGATATACACACAATATTAGTCTACCCTATTTACATAAATCAATATACTATCTTTATTTCCTAATATATCTTAACAGTCAATCTAGGAAATAATATCTCTATTTTCCTAATATATTTTAACACTTCGCCTCAAGCTGGAGCATATATGTCATATGTTCCAAGCTTTTTACAAATGTATCCGACTCAGGAACCTCTAAGAGACTTAGTAAGAACATCTGCTAGCTGGTCATTTGAGTTGATAAAACTAGTGAAAATGTATCCGACTTCAATCTTCTATCGAATAAAATGACAATCAACCTCTATATGCTTTGTTCTTTCATGAAAGACTGGATTTGAGGCAATATGCAGAGCAACTTGATTGTAGCATATTAGTTTCATTTGCTTCACTTCACTACACCCAAATTCTTGAAGAAGTTGTTTCAACCAGATGAGTTCACAAGTCACGAGAGCCATCGCCTGATATTCTGTCTCTGCACTTGATCTAGCTACTACATCTTGCTTCTTACTCTTCCAAGATATTAGATTACCTCCAATCATGATACAGTATCCAGAACTAGATCGTCTACCTAATGGAGACCCTGCCTAATCAGCATTAGAATACCCAACAATTTGAGAATGACCCCTATTTTCATATAGCAAGCCTTTTCTTGGAACTCCTTTAATATACTTGATATGCGAACTATTGCATCCCAATGACCACTACATGGGGCCTGGAGAAATTGGCTAACCACACTAACTGCAAAGGAGATATCTGGTCTGGTGATCGTGAGATAATTCAGCTTACCAACCAATTTTCGATACCTTCTAGGGTCTTCTAATGTCTCCCCCTATCCAGGAACAAGTTTGACATTGGGATCCATAGGAGAATCTACAGGCTTACAATCTAAAATACCTGTCTCCTCAAGAATGTCCAAGGCATACTTCCTTTGTGATATAGCAATACCAGCCTTCGACTGTGCTACCTAAATCCCCAGAAAATACTTTAGCTTCCCCAAGTCCTTGGTTTGAAAGTGGCTAAATAGATGCTGCTTTAGTTGAGAAATCCCATCTTGGTCGTTACCTGTTATGACAATGTCATCAACATAGACAACCAAGTATATAAATTTACCATGATCATTACGGCAGAAAAATGTTGAATGATCAGTTATACTTCGCGACATCCCAAACTGTTGAATCACAGAACTAAACCATCCAAACCATGCTCTAGGTGACTTCTTGAGACCATATTAAGACCGACGTAGACGACACACAAATCCTGACTCCCTTTGAGCAACAAACCTTGGCGGTTGCTCCATATAAACTTCCTCGACAAGTTTACCATGCAAGAAGACATTTTTAATATCCAACTGATGAAGAGGCCATTGATACATGGCTGCTAAAAAGATAAGGAGGCGTATCGAAGTAATCTTAGTAACAGGAGAGAAGGTATCACTATAGTCGAGCCCATAGATCTGAGTGTACCCCTTTGCAACAAGGCGAGCCTTCAGCTGATCAACTTTTCCATCAGGACCAATCTTAACCGTGTAAACCCAATGACACCTAACAACAGTCTTGCCTGGCAGTAAGGAAACCAACTCCAAGTACCATTATGATCGAGAGCAGTCATTTCCCCAATCATGGTAGCTCTCTACCTTGGATGTGCCAATGCCATGCTAACAATGTTAGGTATAGGGATAGAAGACATGTTTGAAATAAAGGTAGAATAAAATGGAGATAAATGATCATTACTAAGAAAATTATAAATAGGATGTGGGTTTCGAGAAGATCGAATACCTTTGCAAAGGGCAAGTGGAGGAGTTGCCTTGTCTGTAGGAGACATGACCGAAACAGACAACAGAAGAAAAAAAGATAGGTCATAAGGATTGACCGAGGTACCTGTATCAAGAAGGGAAGTACCATTGGGATTAGTAGGAGGACGAGGACGACGAGAATAAACTTGGAGAGGAGGATGATCCATTGACGAGGAAGGAGGGATGGGAATAGGTAAGGTGGCGGGGATAAGATTGCTATTGACAGTGTTTTCAAAAAAGTATGGAGATGTCTCAAAGAAAGTTACATCTGCAGAAACAAAATATTTTTTGGTGGTTGGGTCATGGCAACGGTAACCTTTCTGGAGACGAGAATATCCTAAGAAGATACAGTTAACAGATTTAGGCTGTAATTTGTCATTGTCTGGAGTGTGATCATTAACAAAGCAAATGCAACCAAACACCTGTAAATGTATTAGGTATGGGTCTTTACCAGGAAACAGAATGGATTGAGGACTCTTATGTTACAAGACAGAAGAAGGCATACAGTTAATCAAGTAACAGGCGTTGAGAATTGCATCCCCCCAAAATCGAAGAGGAACATGATGATGTATAAGTAAGGTATGGGCTGTTTCAATAAGATGAAGATTTTTGCGTTCGGTGACCCCATTCTACTGAGGAGTATATGCACATGAGGTCTGGTGAATAATACCCCGAGAAGACATATACTTGGTAAAGAGAGAAGATAGATATGCCCTAGCATTATCACTACGCAAAATCTTAATAGAAACACCAAATAGATTATGAATCTCAGCACAAAAATTTTGAAAGATAGAAAAAAATTTAGAACGAGTTTTCATTAAAAATACCCAAGTATAACGAGAATAGTCATCTATAAAAGTAATAAAATAATCGAAACCCAAAGTTGAACTGACACGACTAGGACCTCAGATGTCTGTGTGAACAATATCAAACATTAAGATGGCCCTATTATTGACTCGCTTGAGAAAGGAAGCTCTAGTTTGTTTTCCAAGTTGACATGAATCGCAATTAAAAGAAGATAATGTAGACAAACTAGGTATTAATTTTTGAAATTTGGTAAGACTTACATGACCAATGTGGCTATGAAGAATGTCCGCAGATGCAGCGGAGGTGGAGGCAACTGGCAGATTTGGATCGGAGAGGTGGTACAATCCACGTGATTCATGTCCTGTTCTGATCATTTGACTTGTGTTCCGATCCTGCACCACACTAGAGTTAGCAAAAAAGGTGACACAACAGTTAAGATATTTGGTTAATAGAAATTAGATTATATAGACATTCAAGGGCGAATAAGATTGAGTTTAAAGAAATGGAAGGAAGTGGTTGAGCTTCTCCTATCCCTTTGACCATAGTCTGTGAACCATTAGCAAGAGTAA